AAATGCAGGACTTTGCACTTCTACTTTATTGAACCTCATGAGGTTTCTAGGTCAATTGTCCAATTTGTCTAGAACTCTGAATCCTACCCCTACCCTCCAACATATCTACTACCCCCGCCTCCCCGGTTTGGTGTCATCCATGAATTTGCTGAGGGTGCACTCCATCCTATTTTCCAGATCATCGATTAAAATGTTGAATAAAACTGGCCCCAGGCCCAACCCCTGGGGCACTCCACTTAACACGAGCTATCAACTAGACATTGAGCCATTCATTACTATCCTTTGAGACCAACAATCCAGCCATGTTTTTATCTACCTTATAGTCCATTCATTCAACCCATACTTCCTTAGCTTGCTTATGAGAATGTTGTGGGAGACTGTATCAAAAGCCTACTAAAGTCAAGGCATATCACATCCACTGCTCTCCCCGCATCCACAGAGCCAGTCACCTCATCATAGAAGGCATTCAGGTTGGTCAGGCATGACTTGCCCATGATGAATCCATGCTGACTGTTCCTAATCACTCTTTTCTCCACCAGGTGCTTACAAATGGATTCCTTGAGGATCTGCTCCATGATTTTTCCAGGGACTGAGGTGAGGCTGACTGGTCTGTAGTTCCCTGGATCCTCCTTCTTCTCTTTCTTAAATATGGGCACTATGTTTGTCCTTTTCCAATCATCTGGGACCTCTCCTGATTGCCATGAGTGTTCAAAGATGATGACAAATGGCTCTGCAATCACATCAGCCACCTCCCTCAGCACCCTTGGGTGCATCCCATCCATCCTCATAGATTTGTACATATCCAGCTTTTCTAAGTAGTCCCTAACCTGTTCTTTCACCCCCAGGGGGTACTCACCTCCTCTCCAAACTGTGCTGCCCATCTCCCAGTGGAGATTAAGTCTTCTGCTTGCTGCTAGAGGTCACAAGCTTCCACCTTCCTGGGCATTCATGTCCTTTTCCTTCTCTAGTGCTACCTCTGGCAGTCCTTCCTCCACAGTCCTAGAGGTCTCCTCAATATTATGCAATAGCTGTAAAGTGTATCCTGTATCTATCCAGTACCTGGCCTTAAGGGCCCATGGCCTAGAGTTGGGGCTTGTAGGACATCCTGCACTACAAATAACATTTACCGCAATGAAGTGCCCATATCTGTCCCAGGGTACCTGCTTGCCTCCCATAACAAACACTAGCTATTTCTGGATCTGCCACTGTCTAGAAACATTACAGCAAATGCTCAAGCAGAAGCTGATTTTTCAGTATTGCAGTATAGCACCAAGTTAATGGATATAATTTAATCTAGGACAAAACTACCTACCTATCAAACCTTTTTTCATGTAGGCAGTATCACATCCAAACTTACAAACTCCTGTTTATTTCATGGGATTGCTTACCTGTGTACTTATCTGCATACAACCCCATCAAATGCTCACAGATTAATTTTCAGACGTTTGTCTGATCCTGTTGCCCTGTGTAGCTACAGAATACCCTTGTAGTTGTGGGTGGAAACAGATGCCACTTTTCATCAACTTTGTGCCACCAGAAAAACAGCAAATAGATGTCCATACCTTTTGTAGCACCCCAATGTGGCTGCAACAATAGATCGTAAGAATTTGTGCCGCTTTATTGTGCCAGACTTCTATCTGTTTTATAGCAGGAAAGCATGGGCAACCAGGACTGCCTGCACTTTCCTGCCACCCCAGGCAGCTGTCTCCAGGGTGTGAGTCCTATGCACCCTAGGAACTCATGTGCCTGATCCGGCCCTTCAAGTTCCAGGAGCACTTGCCTGGCTTTCCCCACTTGCAGAAAGGCACCCCTGGCTGTCAAACTCACTCTGGTATGATTCTGGGGCTGAGAATGCCAATCAAAATCAAAACAAAACAAGGAATAACCCACTTGCCAAACTTGTAGGCTCCACTTGGGGTACCAACCCCTCCATGATATGTTCATCTGCTCTTACACTGTGTTATTCAGTTGCAGAATACTGGGATCCCCTAGCTGGGGTCATGTGACCCCAGCACTCTTTCCTGCCCAGGGCAGGGGGTTGGACTTCATGACCTACTGAGGTGCCTTCTGACCCTAACACCTATGAATCTATAACTTGCACAGCAAGCTAGTGGACACCCAACTGCATACTACAATGTGTCTGGAGTGCACCCCACTTCTCTCCCATGGTTACTAGTCCTCAGTAATATTGCTCCCCATCATCTCTGCTGCATAAATGCTGAAGTAAACTTACTAGCCGGACTCCGTGATAATTGTAAGCTGCCAGTGCACTGGGTCATATTTCACCCACCAATAGCTTGGCTGCCCTCAAGATGTCTAATATGGTCCACCCTTTTAAAACCGTTTGATTTTTCCTTACTTACTCAATGGCACGAAGAATGGTCAGTGCAAGCACCAATCAATCACCACATCATGTGCGACCCTACAGTCAGTCAACCAGGATTTAACTGGCCATGCTGTTATTGGGCATTTCTCAACCATTTTTGAACAGGACAAGGTCACTGTGCCCCAGACCTATGCCAATGAGGCCTTCGCAATGACAACAAATGCCTTTGTCGATAATTTAAACTACTGACTCGCGTCTACTTATTATGCTACCTGGTGGCCTTCAGGTTCTTCATACTGTTGATGAGATCACCTTAAGATAGCTGAAACAATATGTCAAAACCACATACGCTAAATAAAGAAAGCTGATTGCTGACCCCAACCCTGCACCCCACCATTGTCCCAGCTTTTGCCATTTCTAGACACTGAAGATACTGGGGGTGAATCTCTGGAGGTAAGGAAAGCTGGGGTTTCCTGCTTGTGCAGGTGCACCCCAGCTATTTCCAGGAACCCCAGAGATTGCTGGGGGCACATCTCTGCAAAAGAGGAGCATGTCTCACAAGATGAACGGGTAGAAGAATGGGCTACATGTGTTTTGTCCAATGAAGTAGAGTAGCTGTGCTAGTACAGCTGATCTGCTTCATTTGGTGATGACTGTGGGAGGATTTGTGTACACTTAATGACTGGGTACTAAATTAAGAGCTACATCTTCATACCAGCATATCTGCTCAGGCTTTGCCCACCCCTGACATTTTTGTGCAGAAAACGGGTGCACAAGCCCCTTGCTTCTCTGTGTGAACCATCACAGGCTGGTATGAAAGCACAGGCTGGTGGGGGAAGGTGCCCTTCCAAGTCTATGCACACACAGGAGCCCCCTGGGAACTGAGCTAAACTATGAAAGTATAAAACTCAGCTGTGAAAGGTCTGGTCAAAGTCATGGGTGAAATGTTCCTATCCTGCAGGGTTGTGCCAAACATGCAATTTTTCAAGAGAAATGATCCATTTTCATGGAGTTTTCTTTTGGGAAAGTCAGAATGAAACACTGACACTATGGGTGAACATATCTTTTGCCCAATTTATGGGGAGGGGGAACTTGCTGCTCTGGAGTGCCAATTATATTGTAACTGTTAAGTCTGCATGTTTCTGTCAGGATGCAGGTGAACTAAACTGCTGTAACCTGAATGCAGCAGGGTTAAAGTTGCAACAGTTTTTCTACACTTACATCACTACAGAAGCATGCAGATATAAAGGTTACACTGAAAGGGCTTACATCAGTAGCATTTGTTATCAAGACAGCAGGTGTGTCAGGTTGGATTAAAATGAATCCCAGTGTCTAGCTAAGCCACCACAGGGCCTTGTAAGATTTGTAGTTTGGATGCCCTTTGCCCTCATTATGCCTCCCGGGCTGGGCTTCTTGGTTGGACTGACTGTGAAGTCAGCAAAATCGAAATGTGACAGCAACCATGGGTGACAGTGACCACGAGCTGCTCACCTTCACCATCTGCCGTAAAGCTGGCAAGTCAGTCAGCAACACGGAAGTCCTTGACTTCAGGAAAGCTGACTTTGACAAGCTCAGGAGGCTTGTCAGTGAGGCCCTAAGGGATGACAACTCCAGGGGGAGGGGAGTTCAGGAACAGTGGTTGCTCCCCAAGGGAGC